AACCCTAAACCCTAAACAACAACTCCCACAAAGATGCCCAAGTTGACCAGGGCCCAGCTCGAAAAGCGGGCTGAGGCCGCGACAAGACTTCTTCAGTGGCTCAGAGGGGTTCATAGGGGTTTGGGGGTTAGGGTTTAGGGTTTAGGGGTAAGGGTTTAGAGGGCTTCGGGTTTAGAGGGTTTTAGGGTTTAGGGGTTTAGGGTTTAAGGGCTTTAAGTTTAGAGGTTTAGGGTTCAGGGATTTTGGGTTTGAGAGGGTGAAGGGGCTTAGGGTTGTCAGGAGTTAATTACCTTTTGGGATTTGGGTCTTTGAGGGATTTAGCTGAAAAGGGGTTGCTTCCCACCGGGCTTATTTTGAGATCTACTTCTTTGAAGTGAAAGTGCTGATAATGGCGACATCGAGGGCACCAGAAATACAATCCCGCGGCGTGAGGAACTTGAAATCACAGCCTCGGTGCAGCCTGCGCAGAGTTCTGGGCGGGCTATGGATGTATCGCTGAATGCTCTGCAGAATCCGAAACCTTGAACTACAGCCGAAATCCTAGACCCTGCAAGGCCAAACCTTAAGCTTGAAACGCTGAACCCTACATCCCTGCATAAGCCCGTGAATCGCCGAAGCCTTGAAGCCGAAGCCCTGAACTCCTATAGGCCTTATAAACCATATGTGCCCCAATCCCTGAGCCCGTAAACCCATTTGTGTGTGTGTGTGTCTGTCTGTGGCAGGAGATGGCCTTGAAATCACTGGCGGCACTTCCCGAGGAAGCTTCTGTTTAGAGTCCTGGGCTTCAAGTGGGAGCTTACAGTCGGGCTTTCACGGACAGTGGGGGTTTCGGCGCCGATATTTTTGTTTGTGGGTTGGGCCTTTTGAAGGTTAACCGTTGAAGTTTGACGCTTTCTTTGGTAGGAAGGATATTGAGGGCTTAAGACCTCCAAGACATGCTCCCAAGGCTTGGAAGTACCCTGTGTAACATCCCACAAGGCTCGAAGAGCCTGCGTGAGCCTCACAGGCTTCACCCGGTTTACTGAAGCTGGTCCGGGGCTTGAGTTGGGCAACCCTACAGCCTGCAGCATTTAGGGTTGGGGGTCCCTAAGTTTTAGAGTCTTCAGAGCGCTGCAAGAGCAGAAAGTGCCTAAGTTCCACGCCATTTCACCCTGCACCTCGCCAGCATACCTTGAAATACCCCAGCACGCCCGAACCCCGACCGATAATGTAGACCCTTGATAACCTTCTGTGAGGGCCTGGAAGTTTTTGGATCCTGGACCACTCCTTCTTAAGGGAAGGCAGTCTATCCGTAAAAGGGGGCTAAATGACATGTTGCGGGAGGTATTGGGAAGAAGAACTTTTCAAAAACATTTGGGCGTCATTGCTGTCGAGGCGACCAGGGGCATGAAGCTGCCGGCCGTCAAAGCTGGCATTCTGAAAAGGCGGCTTTTGTGGTGGGAGTCTAGGGATTTTGGGTCTTGCGCGTACCTACACCCCGACCCACGGACCGGGAATAGGGAGCTCCGCGAGTGGTATCTGTTCCATGTTGATAACCCTGCATGGTGTGGGAAGTCTACTACATACACCACAGCCCTCAATTTTTAGGCTTGTGCCCGAACCGCTGTACCTTTCCGCGCAGTTTAATCTGTGCTCTCTCCTGGTACGGGCGCTTCATCAGTTTCAACCGTATGTACTGTAATGCACTGTTGCTGCAGTGGCGATTCCCATCCCGGTAACCACACGACAAATGTCGGCATCTTGTACTGTCGCCAAACAGTCCGAACCTTCTCTCTCTCTCTCTTTCTCTCTCTGGCTCTCTCTGGCATTCTAGATGCATCCTTCTCTTTCTCCTTCTCCTGCCGTCCTGTCTCGCTCTCGCTCTCTCTCGCTCTGTTTCTTGCCCTCCTGCTTCGTGCTGCAGTTTGGGTTATGGGGTTTGTTTGTCCTGTGTTCGCTTTTCGGGCATTGTCCAGACGCATGTCGGTTTTTTGCTGCCCTTAGGCAGGCTCCGCTGTTGGGGGTTGCTTGTTTTCAGGTTCAACATCTAGTAGAATAGGTAAGAGATCTCAGTCCTGAAATCCAAAGAACCAAACCAGGAACCCTAGTAGGGGCGAGGGCTCTGGACACAAGGCTGTTGAGCCAAGCGCAGAAGGACCTGCCGAAGCCCGTGGAGGTTCAACAGGCACGGCTTCAGGCTTTCACAAAATTGAAGTTCACGGGGTTTTGCTCAGTTGTTGCTGGGTTCGTCGATTTTTGTCTTCTGCTGGCCGCTGGTGGCTTCAGTTTCTGGTTTTGTTCAAGAGATGTCTCGGTGATTCTGGGGAGGTGTTAGAGATCGTGCATTCTATTGCTGTGTATTGAATATTCAGATGTCATGGGATCCGAGGTTTGGGCGGGCCGTTGGATTTTAGACTTGACATGTGCAGTAGAGGCATTGCAAACATGAGGGTTGAACTTTCAGACCCGAAATCTTAAAACCATAAGTTTGACTCAATTCCCTTAAGGGAACGAATGGCAAAGCCCGAATCTTGTACATATCCCCAAGCTGGTCATTTTGTCTTAGGGCCTGGTTAAGGCCGCAGGCCTCGTGTATCTATGTTCATATATGTATACCAAAACGTATATAAAGACATGTAAACATGCTTCTGCAATCAGACGCAAGTTGAACCGGGTCTGCGATGAGTCGAAATGCAACATGGAAACATGGGGAAACAATCTCGATCCGGCGACCTCCCACTCATGAAGCTGCCGCGGGTGATGAAGATGTGGTACAGGTCTGTCCGTCTGTCTGTCAGTCTATCTGTTTGTCGGTCGGCCTCTTTGCATGTATGCATGTACGTATGTAACACTGTATGCTGGAACCGTTCATACAACAGACATAGATTGCATATACCTGCGCCCCTAAACCCTAAACCCTATGCATTCCTCGCCTGCCGGTGGCTACGCGTATGTTTCTCCGCAGGTCCAGACTGCGCCACCCATGCCTCCGACGCAGATGCCTCCCGACCTCGATGCCTTCGGTGGGGATGCCCAACGCTTGCAAAGCTTTAGGACAATAATATAGGGGCCCAAATAATTACCTGTATTTTTTTTTTGGGGGGGGGTCCTTATTATAGATATAGTATAATGGGCCCCAAAACCCTTCTAATTATCAAGGACCCTATATTTGAGTTCACAGGCATTCGGGCTTGTGGAGTTTAGATTTGCCGCTTCGGGCCGGGAATGGGGCATCGAAGCTCCTAGCAACTAGTAAGTAGTAGTAGTCGTCGTGGATCACCGTTTAGGATTTAGGGGTTTAGGGTTTAGGGATAGCACTAGCAGTAATAGGATGTGCGGTGCGGACAAAAGCGCACGTCCAAGGCTGTGGAAATCGTAATCCTAAGCTCCAAGACCCGAAACCCCCCAAAACCCCCCAAGCCCGCAAAGCCCTAAAGCATCTGATACTATTAATAGTCTTATCCGTGTGGCTAATATCTACTAGTCTGGTTAGTATTGTCAGTCTTGCTTTACCAATAAAAGCATAATCATGAGCAATTCTCATTATCATCCATCATCATCATCAGTAGTAGTAGTAGTAGTAGCAGCAGCAGCAGCAGTAGTAGTAGTGGTAAGGTTCGTATTTTTGGTACAGACCCCAGCCCGAAGCTGCGTGAGGCAGAGGACATCTCGCAGCTCGAGAAAATCTGCAGTTCTGTCTCACCGATGGCCCGGGCCGAAGAAGCTTGAGTTAGGGCCCTTTGTAGGGGGTTTTGTGGGTTTAGGGTTTAGGGTTTCGGTTTTAGGGGTCTAGGCGGTTTAGGGTTTAGGGTTTCGGTTTGGGTTTGAGGGTTGGGGTTTAGGCCGAATAAGCATAATTTGGGGGGGAACTTTTGGGTTTAGGGTGCAGGGGTTTAGGGATTGATTGGCTTGTATTGGGCTTGGGGGGTTTGGGGCTTCAGAATGTTGTTCAGGTTTAGGGTGCAAGGGGTTCATACCGCAGCAGGCGTCATCGTTGCGCTCAGTGTGATCGTTAGGCTTGTTGCTTCTGTGAAGAGTCTTGTCAGTTAGGCGGGTATGGTGTGTGACGTTGGACCAATGGTTAATGCGGACAGCAACATCCCTACGGCGACTACGTACAACAAAAGTGCGGCTGGAGCCCAAAGCCCTAAACGTTCTCAATTCCCCCAATCCAGGACATTTTCAGGTGGGTAGTTACCGTCATAGGAGCCTCATAGAAGGTCTATATACCTTGTGAAAGCCTTATAGAAGCCTATATATACCCTAAACTCCGCACCTGTAGTTTCCTTTGACCCAAACCCGACGGCTCCCCTAAAGCCACAAGTTAAGCAGCCCCAAGCTCTATCCTGCTCTAGTCTAAAGCCCCAAGAGCCTGAACCCTCGTAGGGCCCGTATACTTGGAGCTTCGTGGGACTTAAGAAGTACAGTTCTGGGTACCTTAATTGGGGGTTATAAGCTATTATACGTGTAGTTACTTTATTTATGACCCTACCTTAAGAACCCAAAACCTACTTTTTTGTAGGGTCCCTATAAATCCCATACTAGGGTTTATAATAAGAACCTACAAAAAAGTGGGTTTTGGGTTCTTAAGGTAGTTACTAAGTCCCATGAACCTTTAAGTAGGAACCCTTACAGGAACCTTTCCAGCCTTCAACGGTACTCTCGAAGGATCCTTGAAGGAGCCCTTAAAGGAACCTTCAAAAGAGCTCAAAAAAGAAGCTTTCTGGAACTGTAGCTGCAAGCCTGACTACTGTAGGGGCCTCAAAAAAATTAGAATAGGTTTTGAGATATACTATACTATAACTACGATAAGGAACCCCCAAAAATGGTGCGGGTAATTATTTAGGCCCCTAGATCAGGTGCTCGACTGCTGGCGCCTTGTAGATGGTCAAGCTGCGCCGCTACTGCAACAGGCTGGGACCTCTGGCTATAGCTTTGTTTAGCGGTTTGGGGTTTAGGGTTTAGGGTTTAGGGTTTAGGGTTTAGGTGTGAGGGGTGGCATTGAAGGCTCGAAGTCTGATATTTTTGCGGCTTCAGACAGCTTTGCGGCTGGACGACATTTTACGTCCCGACCTGTATCCGTTTTGGCGATCGCCAAAACCCACAAGCCCAACCCGAGCCTGAAACCCGCAACTTAGCTACCGTTAAAGGTTCAAAACGAGCCAGAAGACTTTCTTATGGTATGGTACTGAAGCATGAATCCTAAGCCCTAAAGCCTAAGTCCACGTGCAGTTAGGGCTCAAAGCAGCAAGGGCGCCACCTGGGCTGGCGGCACGATGCCAGTGTTGAGCGATCGTGTCTCCCCTGTACCGGATTTTAAAGCTTTAGGGCTTGAGGCTGAGAGTCTAATAAGGGTTTATCAAGTTTTCAGGATTTCTGCGTTCGTTCATCTTGGGATCTAGTGTGTTGGGTCGTTTGGGTGTAGAGTTCAGAAGTTCTGGGTATACGCCTCAGAGTTTGATGCAGCTCAGGGTTTATGGTCGGTTAAGTCTTTGGGTTCTGGGTTCAGGGTTTGGGCTGTAGGATTTAGGGATTTAGGATTCAGGGTTTAGGGATTTAGAGCTTTAGGGCTTGAGGTTAAGTAGTACTGTTTCGTCTGGGTCTGGTGACGGCTTTAACTACAGATCTAGGCCACATACCCTCAACCTTATACCAAGTTTTTTATTCACAGCCCTAAAAGCCTACTTTGACTTTTACCCCGAAGCAATACTGGAAGGGCTGATTCGGGTTTGGGGCTTAAGGGTTTAGGGTGTTATTAGGGTTCTTCTTGGGGGCTCTTAGCGTGGGTCGTGTTTTGAGATTTTTGAGTGGCCTTAGAAGCAGGCGGTGTGGAATCAGGGACTCTTGGTCTCACATTGTGGCTTTAGCATAGGGGCCTAAATGGGAATTTCCCAAAATTAGGGGTACCGTATTTTGGGGTCCTTATAATAAGGATCCTATTATTAAGGGTACTATATTAGGGCCCCCTATTTTCGGAAACCACCAAATAAGTACCTATACTATTTTTGGGGTTCCTGATTATGGATATATTCTGATTATCAAGGCCCCGACACTATGTCTGGGCAGCAAGCTCTTAACGCTTAAGGCATTTGCGGCACCAAACCCCACGAAGCATTCAGCTCATTTCGCTTCAGTTGCAGGGTATATCCGCCAAAATCGTCAGAATTTGGGGGCCCTTCTACCCATTCCTGAACCATAGAACCCTGCGGTCGCAGACTTCAAGAGAGCCCTGCACCTTAAAGATGAAGACCGGGAAGACCCGGTGAGGGTGATGTAGAACAACTTGGAGGTTCACGGGTAGTTATAAGTAGGGTTAGAAGTCCCCCAATATGGGTTATAAGTATAGTTATCCTACTTATAACCCTATTTATAACTACCCATGAACCTCCAAGTAGTGGTAGCTTGCTTGTCTAGAGGTTCTTTATCATGCGATGCCTAGTCTCACTCTTTGGGTTGATATCGGAGTCGCCGGTAGTTTTGGAAACTCCTACATGAGGTGATGACTGGTCCCGCGGGCTCTTTGGCGGGTTGCCTGGTGGCATGGAGTTGAAATAGGGCGAATGCGACAACTCAGAAGATCCCACAAACCAACCCTAATGTAGGGGCCTAAACAGTTACCTGTACAATTTTGGGATGCTCCTTATTATAATTACGGTATAATATACCCAAAAACCCGGGCCGAAACAAAGGCCCCTACATTAACTCCCTGAAAGCTACAGCCCTGAACCCTAAACCCTAAACCCTAAACCCCGTTTAGGTTTAGGGTTTAGGTTTAGGGTTTAGGGTTCAGGGTTTAGGGTTTAGGCCCATAAAGACCCCTTAGTACACGAGCTCTATTGTTGGACCCCGCCCCTCCCTCCCACCGCCTTCACTGTCAGAGAAAATTCCTGGGGTTTAGGCTTTGGAGTGTAGGGTTTAGGGTTTAGGGTTTAGGGTTTAGGGTTTAGGGTTTAGGGTTTAGGGTTCTAATCTTCAAACTTCCTGTCAGGGTTTCGCGGGAGGGTTTCGACGGTTTGGCATTTAGGCCGTAGGCATGGAGAGTTTATGACTTGCAAGTGTTTACTGTAGTCTGTAGGATTTGGGATTCAAGTATCAAGGTCGCTATAATCTATAAATGGGTTGTGCTCTTAGTTTAAACTGGGGTCCCTTTTTGGGAAGGGAAGCCTAATGTAGAGAACCACCCATATTAGGCCCAGGCTACCTCTCCTTTCTTTTCCTTTGCACCCGAGCTTGAAGACATTGCCATCTGGGTGGTTGTCAAAATTATGGTCCCTTTTTGGGTCCTTATTATAATACGGCAACTATTATTTAGGGTACCCCAAAAGGGAACATAATTTTGACAACTACCCATCTATCAAAGACTGCATGACACCCATAATCTGTAGAAGCCTTCGAGCTTCCAGTCCAACTATACCGAGAAACCCTAAGGAACACGGTTGATATAAATCCTGCACTACCCATAGTAAGAAACATACCATAATTCCCATAGTTTAAGGTCCTTAGGGTAAAACAGGAGTTACATCATCATCAGTATTATTTGAAACTTTTCAGGCGTCTTTCTACTGCTGGTTTTTTAAGACTGATGGTGGGAACGCGCCCGTTCCATCTGATCCGCGAATGGGCATTCCGAAACTCCAAAGCCTAAAGCCCATACCCCAATGTATTGTAGGGGCCTTAATAATTATACATAGTAGGGTTTTGGGGGGGGACACTACAGTATAGTTATCAAAAAGAACCCCAAAGAATGATATTGTCAAGTGTTTAGGCTTCTATAGTAACCCTTTTCCCACATCAGCTGTTTGAAGTAAGGTATCAGACCTACCACCACACGGTCTCCGACATTTTCCTGCCACTGTCTGCGGCCGCCCGGCCCTAGCCGAAGGATACAATAACACGACGCATGTGCGTTGTTCCCGGTGGTAGGGTTTAGGGTTTAGGGTTTAGGGTTTAGGATTTAGGGTTTAGGGTTTAGGGTTTAGGGTGTGTGTTTTGAGGCTTCACAGGAAGACGGTTGGTGGCATGG